TATACTGTACCCTGACTGGGTCCTCTCCTTGTGACCCCTCTGTAAGGGGATGTCCAACTGTCTGCAGATGGGCTGTGGGTCTCCATTCTGCATTCCTCCTAATTCACATTGATATGATATTTTGTTCTGGGTTTTTGATGCCTGCTACCTGATCCCATCAACATCTCATGATCACACAGGCTGGCACACTTCCTCCATGTGGACATGTTTGCTTATCAGCTAGATGGCCACTTGTTTATCCTCAAGCCTTCAAGACCCCAGACACTAATCTTTTGATAGCCAGGCACCATCAGCTTTCTTCACATTTGCCTATGCACTCAGTTTGTCTTCGGAGATTGTGTTGGGAAGCTAATCATCACGGAATGTCAGGTTATTAGAACAAAGTGCTCTTGCGTTGAGGGAGTACTTGAGTAGAATAAGCCCAGGTTTTTGAAATGCGATTCAATACCTACTATTGCTGAAAAAGAGATCTCACAATGACATGTAGGTATAAAAATAAGTGCATTTCAGACTGGGCTTACTAAATAAATTTTACCTACCGATTATGCAAGCTTTTGATAAGATTTCCCTAGTGTATTTCCATTCCCTGCTCTCGGTTATTGCATGCTAATAGTAAAGTGTTACCGTTTTATATTTTAACAAATAAGCTCAAACTGGATTCTTTTTTTAATAATCACATCATTTTATTAGGGGCTTTACAACTCTTATCACAATCCACAGATATATCCATTGTGTCAAGCCCTTTTGTACATTTGTTTCCCTCATCATTCTCAAAACATTTGTTTTCTACTTGAGCCCTTGGTATCAACTCCTAATTTTTTCTCTCCCTCCCTGCTCCCCATTCCCCCCATGAACCCTCAATAATTTATAAATTAATACTTTGTCATATCTTACACCGTCCAACGTCTCCCTTCACCCACTTCTCTGCTGTCCATCCCCCAGGGAGAAGGTCGATCCTTGGAATCTGCTGCTCCTTTCTCCCTCACCTTCCCTCCACCCTCCCGTCAAATGGGATTTTTTTTTCTTCTTCAACATATCGGTTACGCAATATATTCTCTGCAAGTCTTTGCTGGCCACGATTAAAACGATCAGAAACTCTGGAGGATATGTCTTACGTAAAAGAAAAGCAAATGACTCAACTTTAAGCTAGACAACTGCGAACTCCTTTCTTAAGTGACCCTCACTGAGCCTCTTAGGTGTACGAAAGATCTTCAAGATTGTCTTCCATCACATTACAAAGCACTATGAAGATTGTGTAGAAAATCTCATCTCCAAGCACTACTTTACCTTGTTCACTCTATTGCATCAACATCTTCCCACTATTTCTTGACATGCTAAATAGATTCTCATCTTAGGGAGCCGTTGGGCTTGCTTTTGCTTGAACCTGGAATGTTCTTCCAAATTATCAGCCTGGTTTACCCTCCTTCACTGTCTTCTGGTCTCTGCCCACCCTCTTCCCTGACACAGGACTCCTCTCTCTCACGTCATTAACCCTCTTGCCCTCACATCGTTCTCTATTCCTGTCCTCTGCTTCCTGTCACCTACTTTCAAGTTTGGTTTGTTACTGTTTCTCCTCAGTCTCATGAGATCTTTAGGAGAATCGACACTGTATGATTGGCACACAGCCTGTGATCAATGAAAATAATCAACATAAATACTCTGTCTGGCACATTTAAATTGTACTAGATTGAAACATGGCTAAAACTAAGGAACAAAAAAGTGAGGATGCCATCACTCTGAGCCCTTATCTGCATCGTTCTCTATAAACTCTTATTTTTTTAGGGAAACACATAACCAGTGAGATATAACTTCCAGATATAAGGATAAAGCTATCTGAAAGATTGATATAGCTTAACTTTTAAAACAATTAGATAAAAAGGCTACAAAAGGATCTAATTCCTTACCTTGAAAGTCATGTCCCTTGCATATTTTGGCAACACAAGTTCAAATATTAATATGCTCCCAGACAGAAGCGTGAAAGACTATTTCTCTCCTTTACCACCTCTTCTAACACTGTAGGTTACTGTCTTTTTTTTAAAGCATTTTATTGGGAGCTCGAACAATTCTTATCACAATACATACAAAAATCCATTGTGTCAAGCACATATGTACATTTGTTGCCCTCATCATTCTCAAAACATTTGCCTTCTACTTGAGCCTTTAAT